TTCTAACCCGATATCGCTTGCAACCCGAAACCGTTTGAACCGGGATAAAACCGTTTACACCGAACCGTTCACAACCCGCAACCCGTTTGCATCGAACTGTATATAAACCGAACCATTTATAAACCGAACCGCTTGCAAACCGAATCGTTTATGAATCGGACTGCTTATAAACGAATCGGCTACAAACTGCTTACTACAAAGAGAATATTAAAATCAAGTTAAAAGGTGTTTTAAATGTAATTTAATTATCATAGTATAAAAATTCTTCCTGCCAAACTAATATTTATTGAAAATTTATTATTATAGTATAAAATATCTTCCTCCCGAATTATTATCATAGTATAAAATATCTTCCCGCCATTAAAATCCTCCTGCCGAATCGAAAAATAACCAATCCAGTTTTGATAGTGCTATTGGTAAATATTAATGTGACTATTGAAAAGAGAAAGTCATTAAAAAAAAGGTAGTCTATTATAGCAGCATTAATTTAAGACTCTTAATATATTGGTAACTTTTGTGGCCTGGTAAATTAATGCTGCTATAATAGACTACCGTTTTTTTAATTTCTCTTTTCAATAATGTCACATTAATATTTACCATATATAAGTAACATAACTACTTTTTATTTTTATTTTTTTTTTCTTTCATTTTGCATTGATTTACTTATTTACCTATATATTTTGTCTCACAAAATGGTTCTAAGTGAGAAGAATATTATAGAATAAAAGGAGTAATAATAAGCCATCTTAGGGCATGTTCTCTTACGTTGAAATTCAGTTCAGTTCAGTTCAGCTCAGCTCCAAATTTCCTTCTCTTATAAAATATTCATTTCAGTTCAGTTCAGTTCAGTTCAGTTCAGTTCAGCTCAATTCAGTTCAGTTCAGTTCAGCTGAGTTCAGTCAATGAGAGCAGACCCTTAGTCTCTATACATTTATCGTTTTTATACTCCTTAATTTTAAGATTCTCGTTCTTAAAACTTAAAAAGTACTTCGTATTAATCAAGTCACTTATAAATGTTTTCAAAAAAAAATAAAATAAAAACATAGGTCATAAATAATGATTTATATTGCTTTATAAGGTGAAAAAAAAGTGAATGGAATAAAAAAAATTGATTACAAATTTACTTAATGTATAGGTGAAAAACATTGGTTAAATAAAATAAAGAAAAAATGGACGAGAAAAATCCCACCATTAAAGGACCTTCTCAAAATAATCAAACCTTTTGATTAACTCAATATAAATCAACCCTTTGTCATAGTCTGCTCAAAATGGTTCAGTTAACCCGTTACTTGCTTTATATGTAATAAACATTTTTTTTAAGATAATTAAAATATTTTTGTTGGTTTTCCTCCAAACTGCTATCTTTCGTCCTCTGTCTTCCTTCATTCTCTAACACAACAATCTTCCTTTTTGTAAAAAATTACTATGAAAATCTTAATAATTGATGTACATTGTACACATCAATTTGGGAATTTCCGAAAAAGGCAGAATACTACTTGGATTCCCCTATTTTAACAATTCCCTCACCAAAATAAATGTAGTCAGGGTGGTATCGGATGAAACCCATCAAGAGCAAGAATCACAAATCTAATTTGTAGAAAGGATTTTCGTCTAATATTGCAAATTGGGAATCAAAATTGTTAGTTTATTATTTTGACTTTGAATTTGGGTGGTTTTTGGTTGTGATGGTTGTTACTCAATACTCAGAGTGTTTGGATGGTTTGGCAGTCAGATTTTGGGTGGAGGTTGAGGGGTGTTTTCGGTGGTGGTTTCAATACTCGGGTTTTGAGTCGTGGTTTGTTTGGTGATTAGTTTAGGTCATCGTGTGTTTGGGTCGGTCAGTGGGGTTGAGGGAGGGAGGTCAATGTGTTGGGTGGTCAGTTGCGTAGTGTTATGTCGGTGCCGGGCTGCTGGGTGGTGGAGGACTTGGTGGTCAGTTGTTCGGGTGGTCCGTTGGGTGGGTTTATATTGATTAAATAATTTTAAAATTTAATTAATTAACTTGGAACCATTCAGGACAAGACACTTGTATAGTTAACTTATTGGATAGGTTATCATTAAGTCTCAATCGGCAATGGACCATTTTAAGAAGATAGATGTTTTTTTTTTTTTTTTTGACGGGAAGAAGATAGATGTTAAAGGTTAGATTATATGTAGTTAATCCATAGGTTGGACCAATTTAAAAAGACAGATAAAAGGTGAGATTATTTTCATCAATTTTTTCTAAAATAAAAGGAAATTCTCAATGGTAACTACTTAAAATTGCACATTCTCGTTAACAAATTTTTTTCTACATATTTTCACAAATAGCATTACTTTTGTTAAGTTTTAATATGAAAATATTTTTGTAATTAACAAAAAAAATTAGCTTAATTAAAAAAATTAACCTAATAATTAGCAAAAAAAACCCGCCACCCTGCCCCACCCCGAATACCCCTCGCTGGCGCATATTACCCCTGAAAACCACATCGGCAGCGGCGATACCTCACTTCAACCCCTCGAAACAAATTCCGACACCACGCATCTCAAACCTCGACCACCAATTTCGTCAAAAACACACAACAGCTGCGCATCAACACTGCAGCCCGCAACCTCTCTTCACACCGCAAGTAGTAGCGAGCAACCAGATAGCAATTCAACCCCTGTAGCACCACATCGACATCAATCAAACCTCAACCAAGCAACACTAATTTCTCCCCTTACTCAGCCAGCAACCAATTGCTCCAATCCACCATCAACAACCACAATTCCACCATCAATTACAACAATTCCGGCCACCAATCGCAACTAGGACTTCAATTGATGCTCCAATACCCAGATGCTGTGCTCATGAGGACAATGACGAACCCACAAAAAATGCAATTGAACGGTGATTCAAAAGGAGCTTGACGATTGAACGACGGTGATGATGAATGGTTGGTGATGGTGTGAGATAGGGAATAATTTCCCATTACAGCAACCCACTATTTTGGATTATAAAGCTGACAATTTCAGGGGCGATGTGTGCAGGGCGGGGAGGTGGCCGAGGTGGGAGCTGAGTAGGGTTGCGGGGTTTGGGGTAAGGGTGGCTAGGGTATTGGGGTGGGGGTGGCTTTTTTTTTTTTTTTTTTTTTTTTTTTTTTTTTTTTTTTTTTGACAAGAGGTTAATTTTTGTTTATTAAGCTAATTATTTGTTGATTACAAAAATATTTCTGAGAATTTGTAAAAAAAATTCTCACAAATAGCAGTACTTTTGTTAAGTTTCTTTAACATGACTATAATTTTGTCATGACTATAATTTTGTAATTATCATTGAGAATATGCAATTCTACATAACTATCGAGAATTTCCCAACAAAAAAATAAACATTGGTAAATTTGAATATAACTCATATTTGATTGAAAATGTCAAATGTGATACTACACCAATTTCATATTATTAAAAACTCTTAACTATTATCTATCTTTATTATATATGAAAAGACAAAGAAGTTTATGTTCCACGTAGCACCTTCCTCAATCAATTAAATATAATTTGGTACAAGATTTGAACCCACAAATTAAGTTTGAGAAACATAACGAGTTATTGGCCCGAGCAATGCCTCTTATCACTTTAAAATTATAAGTTTGATAAAAATTAAATTTAAAAGGTTAGTGTTCAACAATATTTATACACATGAATTAAAGTATAATAATAAATTTAAGATTAATGGGTGCTTGTTATTTTTTCACTTTACTTTTATGTAATAAAATAATAACTTTTTTGTGAAAAAGTAAAAAAAAAAAAAAATTATTTAAATATTTTGGAGTACTTGGTATAATTGCTTAACTGATATTGAATAATCTCGAAAATTAGCATATAAGTTAAGGTATCAACAAGACAACAACCATTAGTGTGTGATTTATGTCTTAATGTGCAATTATATATTTAGAAGTTAAATTATATTGAAAAATTAAGTGCAAAGGTTACACATATGAAGAGTCATAAGGTAATGAATGATGACGACACATAAGCCATAAAGTGATACATAGTGCTCATGTGGCGCCAAGTCATATTAAAGAATGAACGGTGATACATGACGATAGCATGTTGTCCATTTGAGTTTTAATAATATTATAGATGTTAGCCACTAAGTTATTGTCGCATTATATGTCATTATGTTAAAATCTATATCTATACTTTAGTATTTAAAAACTTAAACCACTATCATTCATATGTCACATGTCCTCACAACTTATTCATATGCCACATGTCCTCACAACTCACTCATATGCCACATGTTACTTCTCTTACCTTTTTAATATTAAAAAAATTAAATTAAAAATATTACATAATGTTAAAATCTTTATGCGTAACTTGCACATTTAAGTAAGAAAATGAAGTGTTTCATTTATACCATGATAGAATAAAGTTGAATCAACTATTACATAAACATATGAAATATAATAATAAAAAAAAGTCTTTTTATCTCTTAAACTTAAAATATAGCTTAAAATACAAAGTACAGAGTATGTCATTTTATATTCTACAATTTTCATGTATATATAGTTAACTAAATCCCTTCCTATTCTTCCACAATTCCACCCTCACTTTTTTTTTATATAAGTTTTCATAGCATTCACCTCAAAAGTCATGAAACAATAACTTCGTAGTTTCAACTATTAAACATACATTTAAATGAAAAATAACATAAGTTATAACCCGTGCATTGAACGGGCTAAAATGCTAGTTAAATGTAAATAAATAAAGATTTCAATAATCATAGAATTAATACACTAATTCCGGCACCGTCCGTGCCTAAAACTATTATTAATTTATTTTATATTAAAGGCAGGCCTCTTTACCCACCATGCATGGCCGTTAATAGTTCTACCAATTATTAATGACTATCATGCATGTATGATTTATCTAATTAATAATTAAAAAAATTAGTTGTATCAAAATTGATCTCTATATTCAATTGACTCGCTACATACTCTATCAAATAAGTGCAAACACAAAACATGAACATGTTTACTTACAGCTTCTAGAGCAGTGTCTTTAGGGTTGGCTAAGTTAGCCTCATCTTGTTGTTGTAGATCATTGGGAAGACGAAACTCATGCATCATCCAATCGGTTTTAGTGCCTTTTCCAGCACTTCCGCGATAGTAAACTAGTGACTTCTTGAGGCCAATGCACTGGGGGCCTTCCCCTCCGTTGGAGTAGATCGGCCTGTCGATCCCGGTAGCTTTCCAAAATCCAGACCCAGTTACTCTATTAGGTCTAATGCTGTTTCTGTACTTTCTTCCCCTTTTGCAGTAAAAATACCACTCTTTATCTCCTATGCTGCTACTTGCTTCTGCAATTCACGTATATAAAATCTTAGTTTAAAAATAGATTATGATAATATTGATAATTATGATACAGATACTAGGGATTAGATAGTTGAAGATGAAAATATTATAATATTTTACGCCCTTAAGTATCGTATACTTCGTATGTATTGAGATAGAGCACTATATTCAAAAAAAAAAAAAAAAAAATGTAATCCGCATGCATGAGCTAATCAGCTAAGTGTAGCTTGTGATATAGTTATGGAGAATTTACAAAGTATACTTTGTATATCATTATCCGTTATAGATCCCTTTGATCAAAACAAATGAAATGGAAAATATAAAAGCATATAATTACACAAACAGAAAAGCAACTAGCGAACCATATACAAGGAACCATATATCCAAGGAAAGGAACATACAGGGAACCTAACATTATCCGTTACAACAATCATTTGAAATACGACTATCATATTATTTATTTTACTCTATAATATGGACATAATTAGTCATCTAATATCTACAATGCAAATATAATTTTTAATTATTATTTTTTGTTTTGACACATAATTTTTAATTATATTAATTCAACAAAAAAATAAATATTGTTGAATAATACTATTTTATACTAAAAATAAAGTAATATAAATTATTACTTGGAGAAAAATATGTCAATTATAATCTACCTAATCATTAAAATATTTTGATAGTCATATTTCAAACTTCCAATATAAAATTTTCACAAGAAATTGAGCTTTATTTCCCAGGTCACATTTTATGTAATTTCGTGAAAGTATATAAGAAGTATGTTTAAGTATAGATAGATCCATAAGCCATCTACATCATTATAAATCATATACTTTAACAGAACCATACATGACTATATTTTATCTATCGATAAATCATCAAATATATTCAAAGTGGATCATATAATATTAATATTTAAAGTCAAAATATTGCATATAAAAAAATTATTATAAACTTAGACATAAAATGTCCACATAAAAAATGAAGAAATAAGAAGATCAACGGATAAACCTTATCAGCTGCTTCACGTACTTGTGAGTTGTGATGTTTAAATGTTAAATTCAATTCAAGATGGAACCCCAATTGAATTTGTCTTATAGGATTTTAAGATTAACCCTAATTGGGTTTGTATATGATTAAAATTTTCACAGATTATTAGTGTTGATTGTCATTAATAGTGATTATTATATGATTTGACATGGTCAAAGTTGACAATATACTAAGACTTGATGGTCAAATAGGGTGATCTTACTGATCTAATCTTTGTCTTTTTACTTTATATTGGTAGTAAACTTTAGTTAATAATATTGTACATCTTGGTTGTCAAAAAAAAAAAAAAAATATTGTACATCTTCTCCCAAGTATTTTCTGTTTTGTATTTAAAAAAATTAAAAGGAAAATTTGTCTAGAAAGGACAAATATATTCACTATTTTATATAGAAGGACCTTATATAGACCTTATAAGTTTATTTTGTTGTTTGAGCCTTTGAGGGACCTTGAGTTCGAAATTCGATAATAATTGACTTTTTTTCTCGACATTAACCTGTCACGTGACCTTAAAAAATGACCCTCTTTTTTTTCGTTTTTTTTTCTTCACGATTTCCCTCCAATTCTTCCTTCTCTCTCTTCTAATCCCTAAATGGCACAAATCAAAATAAGGGAATTTGAGGGAAATCATGGAAATTTCCGTATTTTATTTTTCTTCATATTTTGACTTTTTTTTATCTTTATGAATTTTTTCGAAGTTGCATTATTAGAAATTCATAATGAAAAGTCCATAGATGAATTTCATCTATATTAATTACTCCATACGTGCTTCACAGCAACTAGTAACAAAGATTAGCATGCACTGTACTAAAGAACATGTATATTTTCCTATAATAAATTTTTAAAAAGGATTAAAATTAATTTTATAAATTTTATTTGTAAATGGTTCTCTTATTTATATCACATGATCAGAGGTAAAATCGTGCATATTTGAATTTCACAATAATCTTACAGTTATATGATTTTCTTCATCTCTTGGTTTATATCACTATGATCAGAGGTAAGTTCGTGTATATTTAAATTTCACAATAATCTTACAGCTATATTGGTTCTCTTATTTATATCACTATGATCAGAGGTAAGGTCCTGTATATTTGAATTTCACAATAATCTTACACTTAATTTATCCATAAAAATGAAAGTAAAGAAACTTATAATTCAAATCTATATATTCAGTAAGAGTGTAGTAATGCATACTTGCAAGATCCCAAGGGTCATGCTTGTAGATATCAACCTGCTTAATGATCTCAATACTAAGGGGACGTCGCTTCTCAACCTTTCTCTTTAAGTAAAACGACACCAGCTCTTCGTCGGTCGGATGAAACCGGAAACCCGGAAGCGGTCCTTCATGATCGTCGATGACACCTCCTTCGACGGCGACTACATGTTTGCTGCTACTACTCATTGTTTCCTGCTGCATATCATCCTGAATACTGCAACTCTTCATGCTCTTAACCTCCATAATACTATAATATTATATAATAGCTAGCAACGAACGTTTTAGTATTTATTTTCCTTTTGTTGTATGAAATATATACTTGTTGTAATACTTCATATTTTGAGAAAATAATATAAAGGATGGAAGTATTATTATTAAGTGGTGGTGAAAACGGCTGAGTCAAGTCATGAGGATTGACTTGTTGGGTCATGAGTTGAGGAGGGGCCATACATTTTAGAAACTTTCTTTCTTTTCTTTGCTTCTGACCATATCATTTTGAAATTTCTTCCTTGAGACAAAAATCCAAGATTTTTGCCTTTTATCCTTATGATGTATCCTTATCATCTAGAAACAATATTTAGAATTTATAAATAATCCTGATGTATGTGTGTACCTCATTTTGACTTTTCTTTTGTTAAATCACTACTACTTTCTCTGTTTTTATTTGAGTAAAGTATACAACTGGGTCCTAACTTTGCCAAAATGTAAGAATAGGGGACTGAGTTTGAACAGTACAAATGTACAATAATGTAAAAGCAGGGGACTATGGATACAAATCCGGCTAAGCTTACCTTCATTCACCGGTTACCATACTGAATTAATAACTGAATTATTTTTTGAATTCAGTGACATGATTTCAGTACATTGGGGAAGCTATTTAATTCTAACTTTGCAGCACAAAAACAAGTAGCTGTAGTCCAACAAAAATACTTTGAATTTTTTTAAAAAAATTCCATATACAAAGATTAGCCCTTGATTGCCTCCAAATTTCGAAATTTAAGCCTGCAAAGTAGATTGGTTTAAGTAAGTTAATAAAATGCTACGAGTATTAGTGAATTCTGTTTAGTACTTGTATAATTTGTAAAAATTCTAGTATGGTCACTCTCACGATGTTCATCACTATACTTAATTCTCATTGGCGATTTTTGATTTTTTTTAACCTTGGTCAAACCTTATTTTTAGTAATTTCCTTTTAAAATTCATTTTCTTATTTTCCAAAACTTAATTAATGAATTTCTAAAATTGTTTTTTAATTTTCAAAATTATTTTTATCATAATCTAATTTTAATAAAATCCAAAAATAATATTAAACAAAAAAATAAAAATCGAAAATTTGTTCTTCGTAGTTCATCGACGTTCATCAATGTTCTTCGCAATTCTTCAAAAATTTTCATCAAATAATGAAATCAACCATGATTTTATGTTCCATGTACCTTACTTTCACACGCGCATCATTGGAAACCTAAAAAATAGGCCAGATTTATATAGCAATTGCGCAATTTTTTGGTTTACAGAATCGTTTTCTTTCATCCTGTGGGTTGGTCCGTAATCTTTGAACAATAGAATTAGAGGGCTGCGAAAACGGCAATTTTATATAATCGAATTAAGGAATTATCAGTTATTGCTATTATGGGTTTGTCATTCAAATATGACAAGAAACAGTTTAAATTTTTTTTTTTATTTTTTTTTTGTGCGTAACTCTATTTTATCCAAAAAACCAAGTACGAATTTAAATAATAGTTTGTGTATGAGGTATTTACTTAAAAACGTATTGGACATTACCTTTGCAAAACAAGTTTATTAATATATACGTATGACCATACATTATTTTGGACATTACCAAACATATTATAATTCATTAACATCTTGTTATCTTCTTAATTGATAATGAATATGATTGTGGTCTTCACTACACAAACCATCCTTCATATAACCAGGTTTAATATCAATGGTATAAAAATTTATATTCATATACTTCCTTACTAGTATAAATATCTAAATCATGCTACTCTACAGAAATTCCATTGACAACTAATGTATTAGACGTGTTTAACACTTATTTAAGGGGTATAGCATTATGTGTAACATGTTATTCACTTTGCCACACATACGTCATATTAATATTTATGTGTAGCATGTTATTCAGTGAGAATTGTATCTAGTTAATGGCCCCAATTGATTAGGTGAAAGATTGTTATTGAAATGAACTTTAGTTATTAGTTTTTACTTTTTAAGATGAACCTTAGCTATTAGTTTTTACTTTTTAATTTAAGGGTGAAAGAGCTTAAATATAAATAGGTAATGACATACTTCCTCCGTTCTTTATTACCTTGACCCGCTTTGACTTTTACACTATTCACCACCCCTTCTTTGACCGTCTTTTGTGAATAATATGTAAGGAAAAATATATTCATGTATGATCTTTTTGGATTCATCTCAATAAGTATTATCATAATATATATAACTTTTGTAATTTTTACTTATGGAGAATTTAAGTTATTGATCGTTAAAGTTTTGCATTGGCAAACGTGATAAAGAAAACAAGTCAAGTAAAAAAGAACAGAGGAAGTAAATATTAACAGATTAAACCTATTGTACATATATATAAAACCTTAGTCAATTAGTCGATATATGTTTCAGTTAAATACTTGTAGGCGTCGTTTGAAGTGCGCCTATGTTAAGCATATGGTGAATATGCTTGACACTCATAGGAAGTGGGAATTGACATAATACGATTAGGGACAAGGAAAGTAGGGAGCCACCAACAAGTTTTTAAGGAACTTGTAAACCGTTCACGGATCATTAAAGGCAACCACGATTAAAGGGACAACGAAAGGCAACAACGATTGACCTGTGAAGGTTACACCCTATTCATAATCCATGAGATTACTAACTCCATATGGTTCGGAGCCACGAAAGGAGGATCGGGGATGATGGTACGAAGTGAGTCATGGAATCACATTTGCCCGTATTGGCCTCTACTTGATTCTTATAGTGAAAGCATTCCTGCAATCTCAAGGCATGCAAACAAAGATTCAATTTGCTCCAAACTATAATTACGCTAAATTGGTTGAATATTAATGCAACATATAATTCTAAAATATTAGTGATCACTTGAATTAATAACAAGATTAAAAAGAAACCTAAACCGATTGTCTAAATTATCTTATTAGTCGTGATTTTCAATTACATATTCCCTTTAAACATGCAATATGGTGATCATAAAAAATAATAGAAATCAACATTAATATTGGAAGCAATTCAACAATAAATTGTTAGTCAAATCAAATCATAAATAAAGCTAATCATGATACTAGCTACAAGAATAAAAATAAGAGTAATTAAGTGATTAATTACTCACTTTCCACGTTTTCTTGAATTGCTACATAATTAATACACTGTTAGTAACTTCAATAAAAATAAATCAAATTGAAATTAAATTAAGTAAAAAGTAGAATTGATTTGGTCCAAACCCTTAGTTAATTATACCTTTTCATGCCTTGGTTTAAGGACGGAACTTCAGGTATTGTATGGACTCCTTGGAGTGCTTAGGAGAAGTATTTTGAGAGAATATGGTGGCTAGTATTTAGGCTAAAGAGGGAGAAGAGATTGATTTTGTGATCAAGATTGTTGATGATTGAAAAATAGGTGATATGACCTCTATTTATAATGAAAAAATAAGGGTCGAAGAATTAACAAAAGATTAGAATTCGAATCGGAATAAAACTCTGCGATAGACAATAGTTTTTGCATTTTTTGTTTTTATCATATCTTTTGATCCTGATATCAAAATAAGATAAATAATATGTCGTTGGAAATATCTTGAAGTCTACTTTCAAATCCAATTTGAATCAGATTAAAATAATTCTTACAATAAAATATATAGCCAAAATAGTGAGATGGTGTCAGTTTTGGATATAGTTTGGTATTTCATTCATATCTTTTCCGTTATAGCTTAGAATTGACATTATAATATATCATTGGAAATATAATTTCAAGGGCTATCCAACCCTATAAGCTTTGGATAAAAACTATGAGGCAAGAAAATAATATCCGACTATCTTTTAACGTCTTTCAATTCAAATAGAATTAGGACGGACTTTAAAAAAGATAAGTTTATTTCAAATTCTTTAATCTTATCTTTTCAAAAAGTATAATTAAGATCTTTTGAAAACCTTTAGAAGATTCTAATTAATCCTAATTATTTTAGGAATTGGATTAAATCCTTTAGACCCTCCACATGATCATTGGGTCGTAGATAAGATGAACTTAGGTTCGGTTTGACTTAGTTTAGTATTCTGACCCTAACTTATTCGTTATAACTTGGATTTGGGCTTATAATATATCGTTGAAAACTTCTTTTCAAAACCCATACAACTATTCAATCATTAGACCCATATTATGACCCAAAATAAACTGGTCTAAACGTTTCTATAAAAAGGATACGAAATGAATGATTTTAAATGACACGAAATGAATTATTTTGGGTTTAAAGGCACGAAAAGAGGAAAATTATTTATGGTTTGGGGAAATGGGCTAGGAATTGGTTTGGTTTATGAAATGTATTGGAAATTAATATGGATTTAAGCACTCCAAAGATTAAATACTCAACCCGACCAATAATGGCGGTGAAAGGTTGTTCATCATCGGATTTGGTTTTGGGGAGACATTTTTAGGTGTGTACAATACTGCATTGAATTTTTCAAACTAAATTCAAAATTTTTAAATGATCGCGCTTATTTTTAGCTTGTCAGTTACAAAACTTCAATTTATATTCTTGACCAACTCTCACCCTTCTCTATCTTAAAAATTACGAAAAAATGGGGGATTCACTAAATTCCGAAGGTTCATCTTCTAGTTTTGGGGGATTCATGGTGAAATGTGGATGTGGTGTTCCCTCAAAGATACAAACTGTGAACAAGTGTAACCACAACAGGGGAAGAAAATTTCGTGGTTGTGGTAAATTTTCTAAATCCTTGTGCTTAATTTGTAACCACAATAGGGAACGGAGAATTCTAATATCTAAAGTAAAATTTGGTGATACTCACTTTTTTATTGCTCTAATTTTAATAAATATAAGTTAAATTAGTATATATATATATATTTTATTTTTTTTTGAAAAACCAATTAAGGTTTTTAAATACTTGTGAATTGCAGGAGGCCGACTGTGGATTTTTCAACTGGTTGCATGATGATGTCGGTGGATGCATCAAGTGTGAGATGATGTGAAAGAGGTTGGATGCAACCGAGAAAGAATTTCAATATCTAACTACTAAGATAAACAAATTGAAGGTTAAAAAGTCACAATTTGAGGAGCAAATTGGTGACTTGAAAAGCCAATTATGTCACTCAACTATGGATAAGAACAAACATATTGCTTACACAACAGTGATTTTGCCAGCGTTGGTTATGTCTTAGGTTGGGTTATTTGTGTTAAATTATTATTGAATTTTTTAGTTGATGCTAAGCATAATGGAATACAATACACTGTAGAATTGAATCACTTATTAATAAAATTGTTATTACTACTTATTATTTGTTTCATTGT